AATCGCTTGAGCCCAGGAGTACAAGACCAGCCTGGGCAATGTGGCAGAATGCTGTCTCTACAAAAAAATACAAAACATTAGCTACGCATGGTGATGCCTGTAGTCCCAGCTACTCAGGAGGCTGGGGTAGGAGGATCACTTGAGCTCGGGAGGGCAGGGCTGCAGTGAACTGTGATTAGCAAATTTAGCACTTTTCTTCCCAAATCAACAAGCTATATGTTTTATTGATTGATTGATTGATTGGTTGGTTGGTTGGTTGATTGAGACCAAGTCTGGCCCTGTCACCCAGGCTGGAGTGCAGTGGCACAATCCTGGCTCAGTGCAGCCTCCACTTCCTGGGCTCAAGCCATCCTCTCAAGTAGCTGAGACTACAGGCACATGCCACCACACTTGGCTAGTTTTTGTATTTTTTGTAGAGACAGGGTTTTGCCATGTTGCCCAGGCTGGTCTCAAACTCCCGAGCTCAAGCAATCCACCCGCCTCGACATCCTAAAGTGCCTGAGATGACAGGCGTGGGCCAGTGTGCCTGTCCAACACACTAATTGTTTATATGTTTTCTAATTGGCTATAAATGGATTATAGGCTACTGGTGACCAGTATTCAATAGTGCTTTGTTAAAATCACAGCAGATTATAAACTGAAAGACAAACTGTTTTCAAAATTGTTTTCTGTTATACAGACATATTCATTATATATAAGAGCTTAGGGATGATATTTATAAGTGATAACAGTCATGAGTTTATGTTTAATCAGAGCAGAATCAGTGCGTAAACAATAAATTTCTATTAGTTTAATTTTGCCCAAACTTCTACAAATTCATAATAATTTCCTGGGTGACATATTGCTTGAAAAAGTAATACTATTTAAAGGACCTTGTTTTGATTTTTTAAAAGATACAATCCCAGAGCAGGGCTAAATTTTTTTTTTTTTTTTTTTTTTTGAGACGGAGTTTCGCTCTTGTGACTCAGGCTGGAGTGCAATGGCGCGATCTCGGCTCACCGCAACCTCCGCCTCCTGGGTTCAGGCAATTCTCCTGCCTCAGCCTCCTGAGTAGCTGGGATTACAGGCACGCGCCACCATGCCCAGCTAATTTTTTGTAGTTTTAGTAGAGACGGGGTTTCACAGTGTTGACCAGGATGGTCTCGATCTCTTGACCTCGTGATCCACCCGCCTCGGCCTCCCACAGTGCTGGGATTACAGGCTTGAGCCACCGCGCCCGGCCCCAGGGCTAAATTTTATATTGACTTTACCACATGATCATCTTTTAACTTCACGCAGCTAGTTTCTTATCTGTGACCATAGAGTGAATTAGTCATAGTAAGCACCTCATTTCTCAGGTGGCATGATTTGGCATAGTATTATTTTCTTCTACCAACCTTTAGTCAATTTCTGTCATCGTTCCCTTCATGTTTATAGGCTGAAACTAGCCATTTAAATTATTCTTAGGAAAAATTTCAGATTATTCCAAATCAAAAAGAAATACATAGGCTGGGTATGGTGGCTCACGCCTGTAATCCAAGCACTTTGGAGGCCAAGGCGGGCGGATCACCTGAGGTCGGGAGTTCAAGACTAGCCTGACCAACAAGGTGAAACCCTGTCTTTATTTTAAAAAAAAAAAAAAAAAAGAAGAAGAAGAAGAAAGAAAGAAATACATACTCCTTTTAACCATTCTCCTTGGGATGAGAAGGGGAATTAATGTTTATTGGCCAGCTGCTGTGGGCTGGCACTGCTGTGAGTGCTTTCTGTACATTCTTTGTTCATGGTCTCTCAGCTATGATTAGGATAAAGGGAAGTTTCCTTAGTTCGTCTTACAAGGCCATTGGTAGCCCAGTGTTAACCTACTTGTCCAGCCTCATCTCCATGACCGTCAGTCTTGCATCCTGCACTCCAGCTAGTCTCTGTTTCTTTAACATCTTCAGAAAGTTTTCTGTCCCCTCCAGGCTTTCTCAAGTGCTGCCCCCTCTAACTGACACTGCACTCTCCCCACCTCTGGGCCCTTCATAACTAATTCCCACTTACCCATCAGGCCTTGGGTTAGGTCTTACTTCCATGGGCACCTGCCTTGAACTCCCCGAACTCCTCTCAGTCCCGTAAGAGTAAAGACGATGTTTTCTTGCCCAACTTTTTATTCCTACCAACTAATGTAGTGTTTAGTGTGTTTGTGAGATGGACAAATAAGCAAACAGTCTTCTCAGATGGGTAATTTTATCCCCAAGTCACACAGCTAGTAAGACATGGATCCCAGAGTTTGAATGGAAGGTTGACACCAAAGCCATGTTTTTTCCACTACACTAAGCTGCCCCATGGTTATACGTCATTAAACACTGAAGACTGGCAGGCAAACAAGGTAATTGAATTGAAACAATACTCCTAATTGCATAATTGATCCAATATAGAAACATAATGAAACCAATTTTTTGTAAACCTAATCATGAAAATACTGGTTTTACTGTCTTTTGCAAATTGGGTTATTCTGATTTTAAACTTAAATTAAAATATATGATACAATAAAAGCAGCCTGCAAATCCACTGGAGTTTGTGGAATCTTGAGATGTTACCTTGAAAATACTTTATTCTTAAGGTCAAATTCACCTGTCCCATGGGCCCTATCTCTACTTCCTCCCCTTTTTTAACATGTTTGCCAAGACAGGAATATTTGCTTCCTGGGGTACAGTTGAAATGTTAGATTATTTTCTGAAAATTACGCAAAATACTTTCTTTAACGGGGTGCAGATATGATTACTTCTTTTTTTCTTTAAATTTTCCTTTAATCGCCCCCTTTTGCATGATAGATCTCATTCTTCTTTATGGACCTTATCACTTTATCTCCTTGGGATCTGCTCACTATCTCTCCACCCTCGTTTTTTTGGCCCCTTATCCCCCTTCAAAGTTTTTGCTCTACTTACATAGAAGTGTTTGAAATCCCTGACTCGGGGGTTGGTCCCCGTCCTGTGAAACCCTTTGATTACTCCCATTTCTTAGCATCTATTTTATTCTTTTGAAATTATCTGTGGGCTTCTGTGTCTCCTGTAAGCCTTTTTAGGGCACTTACTGTGTCATAAGCACTCATACCCTTCAGAACCCCCAGGACTTGACATAGTTCCTGACACGTATTGTGATTCGTACTTTTTAAAAAGCAAAAACAATCAGTCTCAGGCCTCAGACCTCCGTCTGTATGAAATAATAAGTTGGAGGTAGTACAGAACAAGAAGCAAGGATATATAGTCATTATATAACTTTCTGGGGTTGTTTTTGTTTTTAAGATGCAGCCTCATTATGTCTCACAGGCTGGAGGGCAGTGGCACGAACTCTGCTCTCTGCAGCCTCCACCTCCTGGGCTCAAGTGATTCTTGTGTGCCTCAGCCTCCCGAGTAGCTGGGATTACAGGTGTGCACCACCATGCGCAGCGAATTTTTGTGCTTTTAGTAAAGATCAGATTTCTCCATGTTGGCCAGGCTGGTCTTGGAACTCCTGACCTCAAGTGATCCACCCAGCTCAGCCTCCCAAAGTAGGAAGATCATCGACCTGAGCCCCAGCGCCCAGCCCAATATTTTAACTTTCTCTCTTGCTCCAGGCCTGCAGAATTTAACTTCTGGATTAGATTAGTCATTTGTGGTTCAGGTTCTCATTGTGAGGTGCCAGCAGTTTTCCAGCCCCATTAGTTACATATTTGGCTCTTTGAACCAAAACAGAACATGAACCTACAGTTTCACCTGAGTTAGAGGAAAGGGTTCTGCAGCACCAACCACAGAATGCTTAATTTTTAAAAACTGAATGAAATTCAATTCACAAATCATAAATCGTAACACTTAGAAATCATTTAGAAAGGTTAATCTCACATCAGACCAAATATTCTCTTTAACTGTATGCTTCATAAGCTTAGAACCTTGAAATAAATTCCTGACTTCTGTTTCCCTCAGCTTTTGCTTCCCTCTATTTGGTTGAGTATTCCCCCCCCCCCCCGCCCCCAGCATGCCTTTCTGATTTAGGCCTATTTTCCTGAAGTCAGAGCCAAGCTGAATGCAGACATCAGTGAATTTCTCACAATTCTTCTCCAACCGAAAATTAACGAAAGAAATCCTGATGCTGTGCCTTTCTCCTGCCATGCTTGGAAAGCTTACCTGTACCCCCTGACTGGCTGCCTTTCCTACTAAAGCCACGAGTGCCTCCAGGCTAAGGACTGTTTACACCACTTCATTCCCCAGCACTTAGCTCATTGTTTGGCATTTATTTTTGTTTGTTTGTTTTTTGAGATGGAGTCTGGGTCTGTTGCCCAGGCTAGAGTGCAGTAGTGTGATCATGGCTCACTGAAACCTCTACCCGCCAGGTTCAAACGATTCTCCTGCTTCAGCCTCCCAAGTAGCTGGTATTACAGGCACCCACCACCATGCCTGGCTAAGTTTTTGTATTTTTAGTAGAGATGGGGTTTTGCCATGTTGGCCAGGCTGGTCTCGAACTCTTGACCTCAGGTGATCTGCCTGCCTTGGCCTCCCAAAGTACTGGGATTATAGGCATGAGCCACCACGCCCGGCCTGGCAGATATGTTTTTAACAAGAATTAAGTTTTTGTGTCTCCCTGTTAAGACCATTTCCTTAGAGACTAATAAGTACTTTGTCAAAATCAATGGAGCAACCTATCACAAGTAGAGATTGAGGAAGACATATAAGTACTTCAGTATTATTTGAACATAAGTAGATGGACTAAAAAAATTTAGATACTGATTAAGCTTACAACAGAAAAGCAGTGAATGAAGTTTAAATATTCTGAAAGAGTTTAAAAGAAGACAATTAAAAATTACCTATGGAGTTAGGCTATTTTATATTTGTAGGCTTTAGTCCGTAGACTTCCTTGAGATTCTTGAGAAACTTTACATATTAATCTACATTAAGTATGTGAATGTTTTGCTGGTGTCGAAACTGAATGTGTGATCAATGAGCAAGAATTGAAAAGTCTCTGTTCTAGGTAGGATCGAGAATTTCTTGTTTTCTAATTCCACACAGACACATCTTCGGCCTCTGAGGATGAGGGCTCTCTGAGACGCCAAGCTGCGCTCTCTGCTGCCTTGCAACAGAGCTTACAGAATGCTGAGTCCTGGATCAACCGTTCAATTCAGGGATCGTCCACTTCTTCATCCGCATCTTCTACGCTGTCCCACGGAGAGGTCAAAGGAACCAGTGGGTCTCTAGCTGATGTATTTGCCAATACTCGAATAGGTAGGAGCTGGATCTACCCAAGAAGCCCAAATTACCTTCCATTTGGCTCCCAGTATCCAGGAAATAGTTTATGGTTTGTGTTAGGTTTTTCAGTATGGCCCAAAAAATACAATTAGAGAAAACATGACAGTTAATGAGGCAAAGAAGGAAACACCAGCAATACATTTGTCACAGGAATAATAGGTATCACCTGCATTATTGGTGAGTAGTATTGCCCACCTGAAGCCATAGCTATTTCCATAAGCAATACTCAAGCTGCAAGATATAACACCAGTCTTAGTGTGGGGTTATCCCAGCTGAAGAATATTCAGTCTATTAAAAGGTCGAAAAATGTAACATCTTAGATTTTCCCAGGAGTGTTATCTGTATTCTGTTAAACCAAAAACACTAAACCTGAGCAAAATCTATACTGAGCCAGTATCAGTGAGGCCTTTTGTCTTTAGTGTAAAGACTGGATTTGTTGTCCTTGCTGCTGTGATATTGCTACACTGGAGTGTGCAGGCTGAGGATGTTGGTGCTCTGTGAGCTGCTATCAATATATTGCAGATGCTACTATATGGAGCGTAGCTTTTGCTTGGCCTTGCTTTATGTTATGTATGTGGTTTTTTTCTAAAGAATTGTGGTATCTGCAGATAAAGATACAGCTCAGATCTCTGCTTTTGCTTAATTGGTTGTTACAAATTACACTAAGTAATGTGTGTTAACATTATGTGTCTGTGATACCTTTCCCTTTCTTTCTTGACAGTCTACATTTTGGTGTCTTAATTTTCATCTCAGTGACCTATCTATATCGCCTCATATATGTTTATTCTGTTAACTGATTTCTAAAAAGAGAAAAACTTGGAAAAATTTCAATTCAAGACTGTAATTTTTAAAGAAATAGCTACCTTGAGGGTATGACTGCCCTCCATAGAAAGCCATATGCCAACAACTGATGACTTGTCCTGCATGCTTTGCTCTGCCCCGCCATGCCATTTCCTGAGCCTCCTGAAGCAGCTACAAAGATGTGCACATTGACCACCGCTCCAGCCATGGAGGGTGAGCAACAGAGCCATGATTGCTGAGGTTTTATTTCCACATCTGTCTAAAAGATATCAGTAGTACTTGTTAAATATATTATCCTAATACCCAGTTAACTTTTACCTGGATTTTTGTTAACAAGATATTTCATCCAGCCTCGTATTTTTCATTGCTTCTACTACCCTGTGAAAAGTTATTGGTTCATTGACTCATAGAAACCATTTTATCCACATTATTGCTTTTGGGATGTTTGTTGTAACAGGAGTAATTCATGTTCCTAATAGAAAAATTCAAAAATATAGGTAAAAGAAAAGTAAAATAACATACAATCTTACCTCCCATGGATGATACTTTAGTATTATTACTGTAGTGTATATTCTTCTAGATTTTACTTACATATGTAAGATTTTCGTTTTGATTTTACAAAAATGAACTGCCTTAAACATGATGTTAATAACCTGCTTTTCTTAGCAGTATGTGGTGAACATCTTTTATATCGTTACAATTACACTATTATTTATATAGTTTCAATATACACCACTGTGTGACTCTCTGCCCTGGTTTATTTGGCCATTCCCCTATTAAATAGTATCCAGTTTTTTGCTATTAATAAAAACTGCTGGAATGAATGTGCTTGAACACACAACTTTGTGCATTTGTCTGATTATTTCCTTAGGATGTATTCCTGTAAGTTTGAATTGCTGGGCCAAATAAAAATGTCTGTTTTAGTGTTTTTCGTTACCACATTATCCTACAGAAAGATATACTGGAATATACTCATGTTAGTATATTTAAAACTTTAAAAACTATTCAACTAGTAATTATAGTTGAATAGAGACCTTAACCCCAAATCGATTCTAGAAATTACTTATTTTATGCTTTTTCCTTTTTTAAGTTTTACAAAAAACTTAGAAGAAAACATCTGGAGAAGTAAGAAGAAGGAAATTAGAGGGAGGAAAATAAATGATTTGCAAGAATCACAAAAAGCCACTAAAAACTATGTAGTATTTTTTTTGTTGTTGTTTTTATTGTTACATGTCCCTGTTGAACAGGGATCTTTTCCAGTTTACTCGCTAAGTTTCTCCATGTTAAGAATCTTGAGGCCTGGTGTGGTGGCACACACCTGTAATCCTAGCACTTTGGGAGGCATTGGTGGGAGGATCGCTTGAGCCCAGGAGTTTGAGACCAGCCTGGGCAGCATGGCGAGACTCCTTCTCTACTAAAAATACAAATATTAGCTGGGCATTGTGGTATGCACCTGGGGTCCCCAACTTGGGAGGCTGAGGTGGGAGGATCACTTGAGCCCAGGAGGTTGAGGCTACAGTGAGCTGTGATTGCACCACTGCACTCCTGGCTGGGCAACAGAGCGAGACCCTGTCTCAAAAATAAAAAGAATCCCTATGTGTGGTAGAGTAGAATAACACTATTTAGGGAAGCAATAGCACTATTTAGGGAGCAAGGGAAGAACATTACCTGTCAAGGAGATCCAAATCACCTATGGATTATTGTATAAAAGTTAAAAGTGGACTTTTATCTAGTTTTTTCATCTGGAAACTTGTGCAATCTGACGCACTTTCAAGATATGAGTTTGGTCTTCGGTAGAAGGGGAAACATTCTGGATAACTATAATCATCAAGAAATGTTCAAGAGACTACAATATTAGTAGCCAGTTATGATCTAAGTTGATTTCATTTTGAAGTCACTGCAACTTTTATTATGATTATTTTATAACATTGGATTTCTACCAGCCTTTCTGTATAGAAAATATTGTTTTGAGAAACACTGAATGTGTGATTTGATCTTACTAAGGCTACTCAAGTCTGACAAAATAATAATTTTGAAAAGCTGATATACCCTGACTTAACTTATTGTTCTCCCATGTGTCTTCCTAGTAGAATCTGATTTTAAAAGGTTGTTTTATAAGAGCCAATGCCACATTTATATTCTTTCCTTCAACATTAAAAAAAAAAAAAATCCAATGATTTGAAGATTTTTGTTTTTGCTGCTAATAGAATTCTAATTTGTGTTTTCTCCTCTCAGAGAATTTCTCTGCTCCTCCTGATGTTACTACAACTACCTCTTCCTCCTCCTCATCCTCATCCATACGCCCAGCAAACATTGACCTGCCCCCCTCGGGGATAGTTAAAGGCATGCACAAAGGATCCAACAGGTCCAGCCTTATGGATACAGCTGACGGTAAGGAGTTGTTTTTTGTAGCTAAATTGCAGGGTAAATTAAACTAGAAAAATTCAAATTATGAACAGTAGCTCCTAACTAGCCCAGCAGAACTACGTTGTAGTTGGCCCACTAATAACTAATCCTGAGTACCTTTTTTTCATTGTCTGCACAGTGGCAGTGTTGCTACTTAATTGAACTTAGTGGGTACTTCCAAAAGATACTTTGAACAAAAACCTGAATGTGGAAAAAGAAAAGAATAACAGATTTTTGCTCAAAACGATAGGAAGAGATTAAAAAAGAAAAAAAGAATAACGAGAGATTAGGTGAAATCCTTAAGTCTAATTAATAATGGCACCATATTTGTTCTCTATTGTCATAAAACTTGTTGTGTACATATTTGGTCCACTTGAAAGAGAAGGAGACTGTGGACAAAGGCCAAACATTCTTAGAAATAAAAGCTCCTGAGGGAACTGAGGAACTAAATTATCCTTACAGTCAACAAATTTTAACTTACCATTTTTTCCCTTATAGGTGTTCCTGTCAGTAGCAGAGTATCCACAAAAATCCAGCAGCTTCTCAACACTCTGAAACGACCCAAAAGGCCTCCCTTAAAGGAATTTTTTGTGGATGACTCTGAAGAAATTGTGGAAGGTAGTAGTAAAAATACCAAAAACATATATCCATTAAATAAATATGTCTTAAGCAGTTACTACATGTTAGGTACTGTAGGGTTAAAAAATGAAAAAGACACAGTTCTTGGTTCAAAGAGTTCATAGTTCTCTGCTCTTTTTTCCCAATGGTCATCTGTATTTTAGATCTTAGATGAAAACTAAGGAGGGAGGGAGGAAGGGGGAAGAAAGGCAAAGAGCATGGAGCATAGAACTGTCTTTGGAAATACACTCTTTGAAATTAGGAACTATCCCAAATACATGATTTTATGAGTTATTTATAATTGGCATTTTCTGGGATGTGGATATCAAATTCAGTACTCTTTTTTTCATATAATGTAGTCCTTTTATAAATCAACCAATCAATATGTGTATTTCTGCTTTCTACAAAACAGCATGTTAGATGGTAACAAGGTTCAAAGATGTATAAAAATACAGTTATTTCCTTCATGTTGTTTATAATTTAGACAGGTACTAAAATATATCCATGTGAATACTTAGTTTAAGTATTTAGTATCTATCAGCCAATATAGGCACTTCTGAGAAGAGAAGAAATCAGTTCCATCTGGGTTAGGAAAGGCTTCACAGAGGAAGTGTAACAATGATTTATTCATTCAATAATTTTTAAACTATGGATGAAATCATATATCTAGGATTTAATAGGAAAGGGGAATGGGTGTGAGTATGGATAAAATGAGAATGGCCATTTGATAATTATAGAAGCTAGGTGAAAAATGGATCTACCTAAGAAAAACTTTTGTTGAAATTGAGCTAAGCCTTGGTAGCTTGTAGTCTGTTTTTGTGTCCTGAGACTACTGTAGTAGGTTTTGATCACATCAGCTTGTTAATAGAATTAGGCACATTGGTAGACTAGATCTGGTCTTAGCCCAATTTATGCCACAGAAAACAACCTGACATGTGAGTTTAGGATGAGTATCCCTTTCTTTAGGAATGATGGACATCTTTCGTGACGCACTGATGTTCAAGATGCCCATACCAGCAATAGCCTCTCCAGTGTTTCTAGCATTGAGTATTGACCAGGTACATGAAGGTCAGGGTTTAATAGGAATCTTATTTGAAAAAATTGCATTGGCAGATTAGAACTAATAACTTTCTATTAATTATTGATACAATAGGCAACAGTTGCTTATTTGGGTAATTGTTACCTTTGGAAAAGAAAAATAACGGTATGTCTTTGGAAATCTGAAAGAGCATGCCCCAGAATCTTCACTGAAGCCTAATGGACAATGGCAATAATGTCAGCTTTCATGGCCAGAAACAATGCCTACCATATACATAGTCTGTCCAGACAAATAAAATACTTATTTAGAAACACCCATGTTTATTTTTTTAGTTAATCTAGTGGTTTAGGGTCTGGGAATATACAAAGCAGAAGGGCAGTTGAAATATCTATTATTTACCCTAAGGCAGCAAATTAGGGAGTGAAACTATTTCATGAATTTTATTTTAGTAGAAAAATGAATCAAGGCATTTTAAGTACAATCCCCAGATTTGTCATTGAGCTATAAAACGTCATTTATTTCATATTTCATTTGCCCATCTAAGATTTGTTGCTCATTCTTTCTCTTCTCCCTTCTGTGCCTCTTTTCTCATCTGTTGTTCACCTGGCTAATTCCTGCTCATCCTTTAAGACTCAGCTCAGACATTTCCTCTTCCAGGTGGAGACGTATCTCCCTTCTGCCCTCCTTTTCCATGCGTCTGTCACGCACTGCTCATGTTATCCTAGCCTTAACATTGAGTCTGTATGTGTTTATGTCCTCTGGTGTACTCTAGATGCTCCTCAGGAGCTCAGACGCTGTATTCCTTGCACTAAGCACTTATTAGGTTTAATGTTTGTACAAAGAATGATGTATGCAGCATTTATTTTCTCATTGTTTATCACACCCTGTGAAGATAGTTGGAACTCAGTAAATACTTGATTTTTTGTTCCATGTGTAAATTATCTTTCCTGCTATGATAATGTAGCATTTGGTTAGGTGCAGTGGCTCACACCTGTAATCCCAGCACTTTGAGAGGCCGAGGCAGGTGGATCACCTGAGGTCAGGAGTTCAAGACCAGCCTGGCCAACAAGGTGAAAGAAACCCTGTCTCTATTAAAAATACAAAAATTAGCCGGGCATGGTGGCAGATGCCTGTAATCCCAGTTACTTGGGAGACTGAGGCAGGAGAAGTGCTTGAACCCAAGAGGTGGAGGATGCAGTGAGCTGAGATCACTCTACTGCACTTTGGCCTTGGCAACAGAGCAAGACTGTCTTGTAAAAAAAAAGGAAAGAAAATGTAGGATTCTTTTTTTGAATTTTATTATTTGAATAATACTTGTTCATTTTAGAAAAATTAAGAGGACTTTTGTTTTATCTGTGAAAGGATATGAAATATTCACCCCCAATTTCTGGAATGAACATGTTAATAATTAGCTCCCCCCACCACACGCACACCCAAATTCAGTCCAATTCAGCTGATACTGTTGAACAACCTTGAAGTATTAGGCACTATAGGCAGTAAGGGGAGTAAGAGCTACTACCCCTTTCCTCAGGAAGCCATCAGACTTTGTGGGGGAAAACTTGTACAGTGAAAAATGTCCTTGAGGATCCTCAGTGCTTTCCTAAGGGCAACATGGGAGCACTACGGAAGCAATAGTCTTCTCAGGGGGTAGTTGGGGCTGGTTCGCAGAGAATGTGCTCTTTTAGCTGAGTCCTGACAAGGATGAGTAAGAATTCACCAGGAGGCAAAGGGATAGGCCATACGAGATGAGTGCAGAGGTCTGGAGACATGGGATGTTGTGGTTTATGCCCATTATCTGTTTGAGTGAAGTAATGACCCTGAGGTATGACTGTTACTATCCCCATTTTACAGTTGAGGAAAGCAAAGCTCATATAAATCAATTTGCCTAAGGTAATACCAGTAAAAAGTGAATGTAAACTTGGGCTTTCTCATTAAACATAATCTGGTGTGGAAGAACCCAGTTCTCTTACACTGGACACAAATTGTATAGATTTAAAAACCAATTTACTAAACATTGTGGAATTGTTACAAAAAATGTATATTTTGTGCTATTCTGTATATGCAGTGATTTGCTTTGTCAGGGTCAGGATTTGTTTATTGCATAAAACATATTGAATATAAAACTACATAAATTTAAAAAAACATATTGAATATGATTTCATATTTAAGTGGAAAATTGAATTAAGGCCCAGTTTGCAGACCATGATTTCTAACCATGTCCTTTCTCAAAGTGAGTTTAAACCAGGTAAATATGAAGTGAAAAAGAAAAATGTAGCTGGGATTAGTGACTTAAGTTGTGTTCATTGGTATTTGTACTCATTTCACCCACTGGGATTTTCTTGGTACAGTACCTCAGCCAGACCCCAACCAGCCCAAGCCGGAGGGACGGCAAATGACCCCTGTGAAAGGAGAGCCTTTAGGAGTCATCTGTAACTGGCCTCCTGCTCTTGAATCTGCCCTGCAGCGCTGGGGTACTACTCAAGCAAAATGCTCCTGTCTGACTGCACTGGACATGACAGGGAAACCAGTTTACACTCTTACATATGGTAAGTCTGCAAGATTCCAGATTCTTCCTTCTCTCCTGAGAGTTCTTCAGAATACTATGTGTAGTGTTTTTATCTAGATACTTCAGTTGCTGGTCATTATGTTTCAGTAGATTTTTTTCAATAATTTAATAGGATCCTAAGTTCTAAGTAAAGCTCTTGCCAAATATTTTCATTTGCTAAAGTGACATTTGCAAGCCAGCTAATGTTTAAAAGACAGCAAAAAGAAAAGAGACTTTGTACATCCGCAGATGTTTTAAACACATTGCAAAAGGATTTTAGAAAAACATTTGGTCATTATAAATGATGTATGGTGAAAATCAGATGGTTTTATCTAACAATTGAAACTGATTACTTGTTAAATCTTTATTCCATCCTGCTTCTTGATTGTAATAGGCACAAAATTCTGTAATGAACAAAAAATTAGTACTTTTTTGTTTAGTTTCGCATACCAGCTAAAGTTTTTCTTTTTCTTTTTAAAATAACATCAAGGAAAAATGGGGTCAACCCTGGGCTATGAGATTTTGTACTAGTTTATTCAAACAGATTCCTTTTCTCCTTTGCAAGTGGAGCACAATGTCCATAGACCTAGATAGAAAATAATCTTTGAAGAAAAACAAGGTTTTATTTGAAGAATTACGCAGGTTGACATAGTTTAAACTTTGGATACTCCTCTGAATAAATTGTCTATAAAATAACATAGCTATTTAAAATAACCTGATTTCTCTTTTGCTTTTCTCATAATCTAAAATAAGATTTCTAAGGGTGGTTGAGGGGAGGGATTAGGAAAAGAAAAGCATTTTTTGTTTGTTTTTGCCAAAATTGTTTTAACATTCACCTCAGAAGCGATATATAAATTTCATTCATATAACCCTTAAAGAAAGCATTTCGCTGGCCAAATCTTTGCATGTTTATTTAACATCTATGAATACATCCACATGTTCATAAAGATAATTTCCATTTTAGTGTTTGTTTTCACTAAATTACAGTGGTATGAAATGTTTAATCATTTGAGTCATGATTTTGCTTTGCAGTTTTCTGAAGTATCTGATACCACCTATATAAGTGATTTTTCAGAAAAAGCTTAGAACATTTCTGAAGATATTTGTAAAAATATATATATATATATTTTTTTGAGACAGAGTCTTGCTCTGTCGCCAGGCGCCAGGCTGGAGTACAGTGGTGCAATCTCGGCTCACTGCAATCTCCGCCTCCTGGGTTCAAGCAATTCTCCTGCCTCAGCCTCCCATATTTGTAAATTTTTTAAAAAGCTAGCAGGGCACAGTGGCTCATGTCTGTAATCCTGGCACTTCAGGAAGCTGAGACAGGTGGATTACGTGAGGCCAGGAATTCAAGACCAGCCTGAACAACATGGTGAAACTCCATCTCTACTGAAAATGCAAAAATTAGCTGGATGTGGTGGCATGCACTGGCAGTCCCAGCTACTTGGGAGGCTGAGGTGAGAATCACCTGAGCCCGAGAGGCAGAGGTTGCAGTGAGCTGAGATCACACCACTGCACTCCAGCCTGGGCAACAGAGCAAGACTCTGTTGTTTTTTTTTTTTTCTTAAGGCTTGGAACAGAAGTATTCTTCTGATTTTCAGTCCTGTGATTAAAAATATTGTTTTCCTCCCTTTCAGTGTGATCAGTTTACATCAAATTATTTCTAAGGATATGCAGGTTATTTCAGAAAAGAATTTGGAACATTATGTAAACCAAGATGAGCATCTGATGATGTTTTATTTCTGTTTAAAGGCAGGACTGGCTTTTGTAAACTAGAATGAATATAAAGCTTTTGTGGGGAGGCTTACTGTGTGTTGGGGGGTGAATGTTACTCATCTACCCCATCATTTGGAAGTGGCCGTTGTCTCATTAACTGCACTGATGATCCGAATGTTCTTTCATTGAGATAGACCTGTTTTTTTTTCTCTATGACTGTTGTTTTTTCTTTTTCCAGGAAAGTTGTGGAGCAGAAGTTTAAAGTTGGCCTACACACTTCTTAATAAACTGGGGACCAAAAATGAACCTGTGTTAAAACCTGGAGACAGGGTAATTGGCATTTTGGTTTTAGGGAGACGGTGTTTATTGTTTTCTAATATGCTAATATTCTGAAGTTTTAATACACAACAGGAAAATGTATATAACTCTTTTTTTTTTGTACAAACTGTAAGAAATGACATTAAATGCTTACTTTTTTCCCCCCTCTCTGTGACAATATAACACTTACTTTTGGAAAAACAAAAATAATTTGGTTCCAACCCAGGTTAGCCCAATGCCAGGTGATAATTCTCACATTTATAGGTTGAAGGAAATTCACATGTCCTCTCCTGTAATTGTCAATCAGTTAAAATCTTTGGGTGCTAATAAAAAGAAGGAGAAACCTTAGTCTTTTCAGAAATAAATATTTGAATCTTTAGACAACAAAAAAACAGCAACAAAACTTACTCTTTGATTTTTTTTTTTCTCCTCTTTACAAAATGCCTCAAACAGGACTGGGTACAGTGGTTCACAGCTGTAATCCCAGCACTTTGGGACACCAAGGTGGGAAGATCACTTGAAGCCAGGAGTTTTAGACCAGCCTGGGCAACATAGTGAGACCCCATCTTTAAAAAATAATAATAATAATAGTAATAATTTTTTTTTTAAGTTACTTGGGTATGGTGGCACTTACCTGTAGGCCCAACTACTTGAGAGGTTAAGGCGGGAGGATTGCTTCAGCCCAGGAGTTCAAGGCAGCAGTGAGCCATGCTCTTGCCACTTCATTTGTGTGGGCAACAGAGTGAGACCCTGTCTAACAACAACAACAAAAAAGCCTCATACATCTTTTAAAACAATTTTCTGTGGTTTTATGTGAAAAGAAAGGAAGATTCATGCTACTTTTGAGAAAAAACTAATTGACATATTTTTATTTCTCCTTTAATTTGAGGTGACATTAAACTATTTTTTTTATATTTTGAAGATATTTTTCCTATTAATGACTTTCTAAATATGATTACTTTTTACCATTACTTTTTATTTGGAATTCATAGAATGAATACCAACTACACAATAGTCTTCTTTTTATTAGGCTTATGATTATGGAATCTCCTAAACTAGGCCTGTTAAAAATTCTTTTGCATTGTGACAAAGGGCACATAAAGGATGGCTTTTACTTATAAATGTGACACATGAGCGTTTCCTGGTTCTCCTGAACGCAAAGATGGTGATTTTGTGTCTCCCTAGCAACATGGACAATGTGCGCAGGAAGGAAATGGATTGTTTAAATGTCTTGTGGAATTAATTTTCCAGAACTCTAGGAAAATTTAAAAGTTCAAAAGTGAACTTCTCTTGGGAGTGAGTTAAAATAATTTGAAAGCAAAAGAAGGGGAAACAAGTCTCATGACATGATTAAGTTTCAAATGTTAATCTGGGAGTATCCAAGCCAAGTAACAAACCACAATGGTAGTGACTTTTGTGTTTTTGCATTCCTTGAGTAAACTGGGAAAAGTCACTTATCTCTGTGATATGTTACAGGTGGGATCACAGGTTTGAACTTATTATAGAGGTTTCACTGTTTATGTTCTGTTAATCAGTTAACTGCATATCCATATGGTTTCTGCCAGTATTGCTTACGCCTATTACCAAATGCCCTCCTGCTAGAACGTTTGCATTGTTGGGTAAGGGAGTAAGGATTAATACAATGAATTAAAGAGTAAGAAAACTTCTGTTGGCCTGAACATGGTGATCAAGTCAATCCACAGTTATAGGCTCTCTCTGAAAGATGTAAAGCCTATTCCTTAATAGGCTGTTCTATCTGGAGAGATCCATTACCTTTATTTTATTGCCTTAGCCCTACACTAAAGTAAATTGCCTTGGGTTTCCTAACTAATTAACTTAATGCTTAAGGTGGTTTGTTTGCTCCTAAATCACCAAAAGAATTAAGTGAAAAACTGTGATGACGATGAGGATAAACGCATTATAGTTCCCAAAATATGTAGTATAATCATGGGCATGTTGGAGATCTTTTTAGATTTGTGTCTCTATCTCAGTAACTTAATTTCCTTTAGAGCAGATGGCTGTTAAATAGGTTGATTTATTATATTCATGATAAATATAATACAGAGAGTGACATTGAAAGCTTTAGTATGGTTTTATTCCTCTGTTAAATTGAATGTCATTATGAATTTTAGGTAGCCCTGGTTTACCCCAACAATGATCCAGTCATGTTTATGGTGGCTTTTTATGGATGCCTCCTGGCAGAAGTGATTCCAGTGCCTATAGAGGTACCTCTTACCAGAAAGGTAACATTGCTAAATTTAAGAGGAACGTAGCCTGACATGGCAGGCATTGGGTTCTTGGATAGATGCAGTCACAACTTTTAAAACTGTTGGACCATTTTTGGAAGTACTCAGCTTCACTTTCGAAAAACGTGAAATTTGTAGAAAAATTATTTACTAAATATTTACAAATGTCATGCAAATAACATATTTTCAACTTAAGATAGAATTTGTATAGTATTATATATTATTTAAATATTACAGGGGCAATTGGACACGGTGGCTCACGCCTCTAATCCTAGCACTTTGGGAGGTTGAGGTGGCAGGGCCCAGGAGTTTGAGACCAGCCTGGGAAACATGGGGAGACCCCATCTCTACAAATAGTAAAAAACTAGCTAAGCATAGTGGCATGCACCTGTAGTCCCCGATATTTGAGAAGCCGAGGTGGGAGGATTGATTGAGCCCAGGAGGTTGAGGCTGTAGTGTGACCTGTGATCATGCCCCACTGCACTCCAGCCTGGGCAACAGAGCAAGCAAGACTCTGTTTCAGAATATAAAATAAAATATCATGGGGGCATACTTGATTTTCAACAATGATCATTTATAAAGAATACCACTCTTGCTTCAGAGACTATAGATAATCCACATTTACAATAGTTGAGAACTTTTTGTAAAGGGATTTCCTCTAACTGTATCATATGACCTAGGATTTCCATTAGGTGGAAGGTGTTGGAGTGATGGCATATTACTTCTATGGATTATAAGACTTTACTTTGACAATACATCAGCCCAACTAAAATGAAGCATATGTAACAGATTTCCATGTTTGACCGAGTGATTTCTCCATGAGCCATTTGATGCTAATTTGTCATGCAGTTTATTATTTGACTTTGGCTGATGTCAAAGATGAGGATGTGGATTTAAAAGAAATCTGACAGGCGCAGTGGCTCATGCCTGAAATCCCAGCACTTTGGGAGGCAGAGGTGGATGGATCACCTGAGGTCAGGAGTTCAAGACCAGCCTGACCAACATGGTGAAACCCCATCTGTACTAAAAATACAAAAATTAGCCAGGTGTGGCGGCATAAGCCTGTGATCCTAGCTACTCGGGAGGCTGAGGTGGGAGAATCACTTGAACCCAGGAGGCAGAGGTTGCAGTGAGCCAAGATGACGGCACTGCACTCCAGCCTGGGAGACAAAGCGTGATCTTGTCTCAGGAAAAAAAAAAAAAGAAATTGGCTGGGCCATGGTGGCCTTTGCTTGTAATCCTAGCACTTTGGGAGGCCGAGGCAGGTGGATCACTTGAGGTCAGAAGTTCAAGACCAGCCTGGCCAACATGATGAAACCCCTTCTCTACTAAAAATACAAAAATTAGCTGGGCATGGTGGTGCACTCCTGTAGTCCCAGCAACTTGGGAGGCTGAAGCAGGAGAATAGCTGGAACCCAGGAGGTGGAAGTTACAGTGAGCCAAGATCATGCCACTACCTGCCAGCTTAGGCGACAGAGAGAGACTCCATCTCAAAAAGAAAAGAAAAGAAAGAAAAGAAAAAGCATTTCTGAAAGGAATAAAAAACAAAATGATAACATCCCCAAAACTCTAGTTGTTGGGATGTAATATTCTTCATTTGATCAGGAAATTATATGGTTGTTCTTAAATTATTATGTTGGCAGAAGTTGTGTGGTTTCATAATGATACTTGTAAGATGACATTTTAACGGAAATGTTTTAGACTGTATCTTTTGTTGCTTTTGTTGTAAGGCTTAAATCTACCCCCTTTAAAACAGAAAAATAAAAGGAGTTTACAGATTTGGTATATTCATCCCTTGACTTTCATTTTCATCTTAGACATTTAGTATCCATTTACATTATTTTGTTCAGACCTGACTTGCTTTTCTCTTGAATTTTGGGGGCGAGGTAGGGGAAGATAACCATGTTAGCATTTATTTAATTTGCTTGAAACTAATCTAAAAGAGGATCATTACTGACTCTTGCAAAAATGGTTACATTTAGCTGGTAGGATTTGTCATTAGTCATGTCTGGTTAATAAAATACTTGATTTATGCTCAGGAAATGTTCATATTGTAGAAATTATTTGGAAGAACACATTGCCATTGGATTTTGACAATTGCCAGATATTGGTGGGGCTCCATGAATGTTATCACACAAAGTGCCAGAGCATTACTAAGTGTTAGATATGGGCACGGGTGTGCTCACATTCGCTCCCCTACCATGTTCATTATCATTTCTCCACAGGATGCTGGAGGTCAGCAGATTGGCTTCTTGCTAGGAAGCTGTGGTATTGCCTTAGCTCTTACCAGTGAAGTTTGTCTAAAAGGACTGCCAAAAACCCAGAATGGAGAAATTGTACAGTTTAAAGGTTAGTAATATTGTACTTGAATTATCAGTTAAAAGTTTAAACTGAATGCTTTAATTAGCTTTTTAATTTAGTAATAGCTAGGTACTTTACATATATGTTCTATTTAATTCTCATATTCTCATGAAGTAGGTACCATTATTATTCCCATTTTACCGGTGAGGAAACAGAAATAGACAGGTTAAGTAATTTGCCCAAAGTCACAGCTAATAAATGGCATAGCAGCAATTTGAACCCAAATCTGTCTGATTCCACAGCCCACACCCTTAACCTTTATGCTGATGGTTGGAAAAAGCTACTACTCTGTACATTAAAGCTAAATGCTACATGTAGAGACAGAGGATAGACCACTAACCTCAGTAGACTTCCACTGCCAAATGGACCTCCCAGTTGTTGAGGTAACGTCAAGGCCTGGAATTAGCATGTGGAACGATTGTACTTTTGAAAGAAGGTATAATTGTCTGGTGATTTATTGCTAAAAACTAATAAAAACTAAGTATCTTATTGATTATAAAATGATCTTAATTTGGTCTCTTGATATTTAAAATTTATGACCAGTTCAATGTGAATTCCTTTCCTGATGGCTTAGGCAATTCAGTTTTCACTTTGGGTTTGATTTAGGTTGGCCCCGGCTCAAATGGGTTGTAACAGATTCCAAGTACCTTTCAAAGCCACCAAAAGACTGGCAGCCACACATCTCACCTGCTGGGACAGAACCGGCTTACATTGAGGTAAGTCTTAAGATGTAAAATACACTTTCAGGCTTTTCCTTTGGCTTTGCTTGCCACCTTTCAAAATATAAACTAAATTTTTGCAAGGTTAATATTAGAAGATCCTCCTGCTCTGTGAGATTTCCATCTTTTGGCTTGTAAAATACCTTGTAGTAGATCTTCTATTCTAATTATTCTGATCATAAATATACGCTCAAGAGAATGACAGAAAAAAATTGATTCTTCATGCAAGGAAGTTACTAAAGACTTTAGGGTAGTACAGACATTTAAGAAATAATGTGCTGGGCTGGGCGCAGTGGCCCTGTAATCCCAGCACTTTGGGAGGCTGAGGTGGGTGGATCATGAGGTCAGGAGTTTGGGATTAACATGGTGAAACCCCATCTCTACTAAAAATACAAAAATTATCTGGGCATGGTGGCGCACACCTGTAATCCCAGCTACTCAGGAGGCTGAGGCAGGAGAATCGCTTGAGCCTGGGAGGCGGAAGTTGCACTGAGCCGAGATTGCACCACTGCCCTCCAGGGAAATGTCTCTGCTGCTTATTTAGAGAGATTGGGGGCAAGAGAATGGAAAAATGAGGAGGGAAAATAACTCTGCTTAAAAGAACAAATTGGTAGATGAAGGATAAAGAGCAAAAAGAAACAAATGGCTAGAAGGTTTGATATTTAGGTTGGTGTAGGAATGCGATTGGCAGCATGATCTCATTGAGGGATTAAGCAAATCCAAGCCCATACCGGGCACCAGGCTGAATGCTTTAAGGTGCATTTTCTCATTTAGTCCTCACAAGTACCTTGTGAGGTTTGGTTTATTATTAAACTTGCTTTATAGATGAGGAGACTAAGACTTAAAAGAATTTCAGTAGATAACTAGAGGCCCCGTGACTCAAAAATGGCAGTGCTAGACTCAATCAGGTCTAACTCTAAAAGTTGTAGCCTTCACCACTCTGTATCCTGTGTGAGACATATGCTCACCCATTGTTTGTTGAATTAATGAACAGGCACATCAATAAAACTTTTTTAAAGATTTGGGGGAACTTCATTGAACCATGAACACTGATAATAACAAGTAGAGAGAACTTCAAATAATTGGCTGTAGAAAAGAGAGGCTGGGTGAATGAGTTCATGTCCTTTGCAGGGACATGGATGAAGCTGGAAGCCATCATTCTCAGCAAATTAACACAGGAACAGAAAACCAAACATCACATGTTCTCACTCATAAGTGGGAGTTGAACAGTGAGAACACATGGACACAGGGAGGGGAACATCACACACTGGTGCCTCTTGAGGGGTGGGGGGGCAAAGGGAAAGGAGAGCATTAGGACAAATACCTAATGCATGTGGGGCTCAAAACCTAGATGACAAGTTGATAGATGCTGCAAACCACCATGGCACAGGTATACCTGTGTAACAAACCTGCATGTTCTGCACATGTACCCCAGAACTTAAAGTAATAATTTTTAAAAAATTAAATTAAAAAAGAGAGATTGGGGTGGGGCATAGTGATTAATGCCTGTAATCCTGGCACTTAATGGATGCTGAGGTCAGGAGTATGAGACCAGCCTGGCCAGCATAGTGAAACCCTGTCTTTTCTAAAAATACAAAAAATTAGCTGAGGATGATGGTGCACATCTGTAGTCCCAGCTACGTGGAAGGCTGAGGCAGGAGGATCACTTGAACCCAGAATTCAGAAGTTACAGTGAGCCAAGATCATGCCACCACACTAGAGAGGCTGGATACAATGGCTCATGTCTGTCTGTAATCCCAGGACTTTTAAGAGGCCAAGACAGGAGGACTGCAAAAAAAGAAAGAGAGTGAGCAATAGCTCTGATAGGTGATGGGTTATTATTGGATGCAAGGATGATTGTTTTTAAAGATGGAAGAGATCTGAGTATGTTTAAAAGACAAACAGATAAGCCAGCAAGATGGCTCATGCCTTTAATCCCAGTACTTCTTGGTGACAACCCATATTAGGAAAAAAAAAAAAATTA